GAAAACAAGATAGATATAATATTTAAATTATAAATTCAACTCTTATACAAGCACAAAGGACACCTGTTTGTTTTAAATTGAAGATATCATTCACTAAATATGAATAAAATTAAACTATTCCATTGGAATAATTAGAGTGGATTATTTAGTTTTTTCCTCCTGCTACCAAGCCAAGAACGAAATCCTTATAGGACCCTGTAAGAATCCCTTGAATTTTGTTAAGAACATTGCCCTCCTTCACCATAAACTCTTTTTGGGTTACAATCACTCGAGTCAGTGCTCTTTTTGATTCCTCATCCGCATCCACACTTAGAGCTGCCTCCAGAACCTGAAAGGAAAGAGATGAACAAAAGCTTAGATTAAAGACTAACTAGGAAATCATTTCAACCATAAAAAATAAAAAATAACATTCCACCATAATCTTACCCTGGTGAAATATGTTGCCGGGGTGCACAGGCATTCTACTGTATCTTTTAAAATTCCCTCAGCTTCAAGGTCCTAATCAAATAATTAAGCACAAGTGAGTCAAAGATATATAAAAATATGTATATGTTCGACTTTGAAGTTATTAAATAGGGATAAGTGCTCAATATGAATGCATTCAATAAATTTTAAGTTTTTCATTATGTTTAAAGTTAGATCTCTATATCTGTATGTCATTGTATCAGATACAGGTATTTCAAATAAAAGCCAGAGCAGCATAGATGGTACATTAGTCTATAGATGTGGAATGATAAATTGTGTTGGCTTTACCTCAGTGATGGTCTTGCCACAAATTTTGCTGTAGTGTTCATATACTGCCTGGAGATGTGGTTTGCTCCTTGTGGAAAGGATCATGATTGCGTCCTCGTCCTCAATAGGTTTTCTTTTATCAGCACTCTTGATTGCACTGGAAAGGATTTCAGCTTCAGACTTTGCAACATCTTCATCAACTTTGGGCCCCTCGTACCTGTAAGCACTCACAAGTGCTACCAAGAGCTGTTCCAAGGAATAAAACCCAACATCATGAGATCTTTTTCCTTTTATTGAAGGTACCTGTTGAACATCATTACTGGGTTGGAAGGCCCAGAAAATTAATGGGCATCAACAGAGTCCTCATCCTCTGGTGGGAATAGTATAATTTTTCTTGTGAATTTGACCCAAAATCTGTTGGGAGGAGCCTAAATGATTTTGGTATTCTCACCTTACGCTCACTACCCTTAATGCGGGAAGCGAGATCTTCCTCGATGGAGTGGTCAAACAGGGAATGATAAGCCTTCCTTGCACCCAATAATTCATCTGATGATCTTGTACATGCTATCTCTACAATGACACTATAATGTCTTGGGCCCTGTTTCAGTGCCTTTTCAATCAAACGAGCATCTCTTTCCCAAGGATGCAAGAGTGAAAGCACCACAGCATCCTAACAACCACAAGGGAAACCTCAAAAAACCTTATCAATATCTTGAAAATTATAATTCTACTTATCTTTATGTTTTTTCAAATATTAAAGACAGAAAAACAGCCTGGAAAAGAAGCAATATCCAATTATTGAACCTACTTTGGATGGTATTAAGATGTTGATTTTGTTTTACTTTTTGTTTTATCAACAAAACTGCTTTTACACTTCAATATCCCAAAAATCTCTCTTACCCTATTACCAAGTCATCATTCAGGTAGTTTTACTAACCACAAAGCTATTTAAACTTGAGCTTGCATCTACATATTTTGAGTCGATGATCATGCTTCTTTTCTCACTTTTCGTGCTTTTATTTATTTGAAAGAAACAATAAAGATAATACGAGAATTGGAGAACTCACTCTTGTTAATTTTAAACTAAAAATTTTGATGTACGAAATTACATATACATCATATATGTCACATACCCTAAATCGCTTGAATTCAAGTTTGAGATTTTTAACGGTAGATTGATGCAATCGCTCAAATCCATTGTCATCCTCAATGAAGAACTTGGAGCATCCTTTCCGGAGGGATTTCTTATGTTCATGGTTTGAATTTGCCAATATAGAGATTAATGAATTCTCATCCACTCCAATCCCTGAAAATAAAGGAAGGTAATGGTCATTTATGAATTCATGAACAAAGAATTGACTTGCTAGCTTCAATATATCAAACAATGCCCACAACAATGTACAAAGCTGTTGTTCTTGCTCTTATCAATGGCAAGCTGAGAGGGAAGCATTTTAGTTAAGAAGAAAATGAAGGAAAATTAGAGATTAAGGAAAGAAGATGAAGGAAAACCTGAGAAAGCTTTGGTAAGAGCTTCAAGATCAGCCATTCTTTGGGGGTCCCCTGTAGTATTTTTGCAATATGGAAAAATTTAGTGTTATGAGTAATGCAACAAAGGAGAAATACATTTATATCATGCTGGAAGGTTAAATTTGTCATTCTTGTAATTAAAATTATTTTGGGGAAAAACTGCAATCATAATGACGAAAAGTAGACAAAATAATGTTTGGCTAACGCTTGGACCCTTAAAAAGTTGAAGGGGTTAAACGTTAAAAGGCCACAATTAATTCTTTCCTTCCTTTTTTTTTTTGTTTTTCAGTAAATAGTCCATACATTTTTGCTATATAGTACTTGAGCCCACTTTTTTATTCAATTTTATTGTTTAACCCACTTAATATTCGATTTTGGAAATTTACCCCTCAGGCAATCATATTATAGACTCCTCATACAAAGGTTAAAATGGCCGAAACATGATCTAAAGTTGTTGGCCTAACCCTGACTATGCATCATCTCGGCAAATTTTAAAATTATAAAGAAGAAAAATATGGTTTTTTTAAAGGTTTATGATATTGTTAAGTATTCAAACAAAAATCAATTAATAATAGATGAAAGAAACACTGAATATGGATAACTCAAGACTTAATTGATGTGGTATAATGTCACTTAACATATATTTTTGGATTATAATTTTGGAAACGATGAAAATCGAAAAATTAAACTCAATTTTTTCCTTTACATCTAAGAGATAAATTCTATTATTAATTAATAATTTACTTAAAATTAATTAAAATATTAATTTAAAAATATAGTAAATAAATATGACTAATTTCATCAATCAAAAGTTCTACCAACGCTCATGCTATTATATATATTATATGCTTTTTGACAACATTATTGATGAGTAAGATGTTGACTGGATAAAATTGATAATGACATCCTATTATGAAAGAAGAAGATAATGTCAAAAATATGATATAAGATTTGTCACTCATGCAGCTAAGCACCAGCTTATCAACTGCTTCAATTTAAAAAAACAAAAGTATAGAATATATAGTAAACATTGAACAGGGGACAATCTGAGTTTTAGTTTGGGACTTTTAATCATGATTGATGATTGTGGGGGATGCTGTTATATAATTTAAAAGATAAAAAATAAATAAAATAAATAAACGAGTTAAACGTGTTTAATTTAATATCTGATGTACTTATCTTCCGTAAATCATCTTTAGATCAAGAAATCAACAATAATATAAAATTGTTTTTTATTGTGTGTCAAATTTCTTGATTGTGAACTTAAATTAGAAATTAAATTCAAAGTAAATTTTTTTTTTTAAGATTTGGACCTAAATCTTCGAGTAAGGGATATGTACATTGATGAAAGAGTGGAACTCACTCTCTCTTTCATTCTGTCTTTTTGATTGAGTCACTCTCGATGATCATCATAGGACCCATGGGGGTCTGTTCTTGCCTTTTTATAGTGGTTGAGGTGGAGTTATGTATTAATCACAGTCCAGCTAGATAGGACCCAAGAAGAAGCATTGACAGCTATGATTTTCACGTATTGTCCTCTCAAATAATAAGATTTTTCTTTACAAAAAAATATATTATATATGTAGTAATAGCTAGAAAATGAAGTATCCAAAGAGTTGAACTCGAATTTCCAAACTTAACAAAATAATATATATTTTGCTAACTTCGTTAATTATTTATTAACATTTTATGTTTCAAATAACCATTCGAACATTTAATCATACACATTATGTAATTATTTTATATGTCAAAGGATTTCAAACAATTGCCTGGTTCGCCATGATTAATTAGCTAGACGAGGATTGTTGAGCACCATAACCAACTTGCAAACACTATAATGTCATACTTGCCATCTGATAAGAACAGTTTGATTAGACTGTCAGGCACTCCATAGTCCACATACTTAAATTGTCTTCTAAAACATTACATGCAAAAATACAAAGACAGATAATGAGAAAAGGATATGCTCAGCAGACAAGAGTGGTACTTATTGTTGAGGATGGCCCCAGAAGGTTTGAACTCGTGCTTTTCATGTAACAAAACAATTGAGTAAGATCACTGATAGAATCTATTAAAGGTACTATCATAATCATGTCTAAATTTTGATAAGACATAGGTATTTAAGAAAAAAAAAACCAGTAAAGTTATTTAAAGGTTTTACTGATAATTTTTTATAATTTTTTTATGATATTGCAGAGTTATATATCCTATATATTGTTGCAGTGAGTCTGCAGGTGCACATTATTAATAATAGACTCGATTCGACATTCATGTAATTAGTGTCAAGTTCAATTTATGACCTAAAAAAATACCCCATAAGCTGGCAAAATTCTTTTGATAGGTATTGGCAATTGCTTTCTGTTTTGCCTCAACTTTTTGTCAAGAATATTCTTCGCTAATAAGCAGCAGATTGGAATTGATCGACCCTTTGGAATTGAGGGCCATTCTCAATTCTCTGGTTTTTCAGATTTAGAACCATGCATAATTGTTAGAATATATAAAAATCCAGCTGGGAAAGAACCAAAGACAGCTAAGGTTTTCAGTACATTTTTCAATAATTATACAGGTCGAAAGCACATCAATCCTTGCAAAGCAATTCCAACACTAGGCCTTTTAGTCTTTTGGTCTTTGTAATTTACAAGACCTTTTACTAATTTAATTTTTCTTTTTTCTTTTCCAGGCTTCTTTCTTTGCTTTTACATTATTTTTTAACTAATTTGGAAGGAGGTAAAGCTGTTTATAAATATCATGGGATATGTTACCAACCCATCATCTAAGATCACATGCAAAATATAACCATCCCATGGAAAAGCATATAGAATTTCATTAAGAAGTAGATTTACAAAAATTATTTGATAAAATTGTACTAATGTATAAAATTGCATAAGAAGAGATATAAGATAATTAGAAATTTAACATCTAATTCAAGATAAAATTTTGATAAAAAAAATTAAATGAGAGGTAAACGATTTGACTTGTAAAGTATTCCGAGCCTTATATTATAGTCACATGTCACATGCAGGTCTATTCTTTCAATAACATACTAATTAATGCTTTATCAAAACTTAGCTGTTGGACTAACAAAAGTCTATTATGGGTAATATATATACATACATATATATATATATATGAAATGAACAAAATATCTCTACTCTAAAGTTATTGGTTCTTTTCTAAAACTTGTTGAATAAAGGCACATATATTTATTGTTCAATCACATGTTCGGATGTATATATATATATTTTAAATTTTATGTGATCTTACAAACTTAAATTTTATGAGAAACCAAAAAGAAAAAAAATATTGCTTTGTTTCAATCTCCAATTCTTTTTTAAGGAAGTACAACACATAATCACAATTCTTTTGCCTATTTCTTATGTAATCTTCTGCTTTTGCCAATGCATTCCCTTTTCTTTATTAATTATTTTTTTTGTTAAGCATATACTTTGCCTAGAAGCAGCAGCTAGCATTGCAATTCCTCTTTTCGAATTGTGTGGGAATAGAGGGCGTAATCTTACTTCCTTTAATTAATTATTTTTTACAAACTTTCCTGCTGGTAAGAGCCATAGACAGCTAAGATTTTCCCATTTATTATTTAATTAAGCAGATTATTGGGAGCACGTTATTCTTAAGGAATCCCAACACTTGGCCCTTTGTTGTTTGTCCCTCTCTTATCTGTTAGATCAGCTTTGAAGATCTTCTTCATATATTCATTTCCAAGTCTCTTTCTCCTACCAAACTAATTTCTTTTATGGGTCCCTTTTTTTCATAGGTTAAAGAATTAATGTAACGAGGATATTATACAAGTGGATGACAATTTATTTTTCTGAATTGTGGGGAATGGATAACCTCCTACTAAATTATTTCATTTCTGCTTGAGGGGGTCCTCAGGGAACTGTCACATGCCAGAACAAATTTTTGCAGTCATGAAAAAAATGAAGTCTCATCCAATTTTGATTCAATCAAATATGAAACTGTGTCAAGCCGAAATATCAGAAACAAGCTCGGAAAGAATATGGATATGGAACCAGTTTTTAATCCAACAATGTGACATTACTAAGCATTTCATACCTACCAATCTAAATATCACATGCAAAAAATGCGAAGTCAGAGAGAGACATCAGACCTACCAACAGCAGAGAAGGATAAGACAGAGAAGGGTTTTTAAAAGTAACACCAGAAACTGAACATCTTGCTCATATCATCCAGAATTATTAGCTTTTTCAATTCATAACGACCCTTTGAATGAAAGCAACCAAAGGCAAAGGAGTCAACACATGCAGTATTTTGGGTTGTTAAGCATGGTTTTGCTAACATGTTGATGAGATAGAGCACTAAGGTCAATTTGCTTTCACCAAAAGCTTTCTAAAAAGTTGATAATTACCTCAGTGAAACTGATATGTTACGGAATTATTAAATGTTTGCATTCAATGATGAGTAATTGAAGCAAATATGAATACTCCATGGTACCATATATAAATTGCAAAACTTCATGCTGGTTTAGAAAAATATGGCAGAACCAAAGGGCCTTTTTAGCTTTTTCTCATTTTGCAAGCTTTTATTAATAAATGGCTTTAATTTCATTATCTTTTCTTTTCTTTTTTCACTTAAATCAAAGGGTATCAAAGTCTTAACAAAAATAGAGATTACAGGGCCTGATATTCAGCAAACTATCAGGAGGGAATACAACAGAAACTGAAGAAAAAGAAACTGAGAGAAACTCCAGTGAAACAAGATGAAGAGTTTTAAGAAACTTTTCACAAGTAAATCAAAAACCCATAGCCCTGAATCTAGTTTTAAGATTGGAGGAATGGGTTCACTTAAAGTACTAGATGTCATTCCTTCTCCAGAAGAAGACTCTGAGAAACTCAAGAAAGCTTTTCAAGGTCTCCTCTCTATCTTCATATCCTTTTTTTCCTTTAATTCATGTCTATTGAGATAATTGTTATGATATTGTTATAACTGAATTGTTGTTATTGATGTTATCGGGAAATTGTTTACAGGACTGGGAACAGATGAGGATGAGATAATTCAGATATTAGGACACAGAGATGCAAGTCAAAGGAAGAAAATCAGAGAAACTTACCAGAATCTCTACAATGAAAGTCTTATTGATGCTCTCAATTCTGAGCTTTCGGGTGATTTCAGAGTATGTTCTCTTTCTGTACTCCCCATTTTATTTCATTACAAGTTTCCTGTCTAGTTGACTGAATTAGGAATGTGCAATTCCCATCAAAGTTCCAATGATTGTCTCTTGAAACTTCTGCAGTAAATCCTTAAAAGATTCAGAATCTTGAGAACTCATTGCTGTGAAGTTTTAAAGTTTAACGGTATCAAAAACATTTTAAACCAGGTTATAACTCTGATCTAGGCTGTTACCAACTGGAGGAACCAATTCACACAAATCTATATCAATAGAAGAATGCATTCCCCTAAGTCATATTCATACTTTTAGGCTTCTGGTTTCTTCCAGTTTGTATTTCCTTAAATCAAGTACGTCTCAAATTAAGGTTCTCTTTGTTTTCTGATTCACTGGGCGAAGCAAATGACTGCAACAAAAGAATTTTTTGGGGTTATTCCAGAACATTAGGAGTTCAAATTCATATAGAGTTTCAAATGTTAAGATACAGCACTTTGTTAAGATGCTTGGTTTTAGTCCTTGGAATGATTCTCAAACTTGTTGAACAGCTCCAATGATTTGAAGGAAGCATTTGATTTCCAAAAACAAATGTTCACATCAATGTGAATTCCTATGATATAATAAACATTTCTGATGTTTAACAGACAGCCGTCATTCTTTGGACATATGATCCTTCTGAGAGGGATGCAAGACTGGCAAATGGAGCATTGAAGTCAAAGAAGAAGGGTGTCAAACAGCTAGAAATCATAGTTGAGATGTCATGTGCATCGTCCCCTCATCATCTTGTAGCAGTAAGGCAAGCCTATTGCTCTCTCTTCGACTGTTCACTCGAAGAAGCTATTGCAGCTTCAGTATCTATGCCCCTCAAAAAGGTAAGTACACGCAAAATAGATAGACTTGAAGTAATTGACTTCACCTTCATATACATGAGTTTTAATAGGTTGCAAGCCATCCAGTTGACTTGGAAATTTTGGTGATGCACAGATTTTGTTAGGCCTAGTTACATCCTACAGGTATGACAAAGAACTGGTGGACATGGATGTTGCAAATTTAGAGGCTGATAGATTACATGAGGCCATTAAAACCAAAGAGTTGGCTCATGATGATGTTGTGTATATACTCTCTACAAGAAACTTCCATCAACTCAGGACAACATTTGAATGCTACAAGAAAAAATATGGAAATCCCTTTGACAAGGTTCTGCCAACATATATAACTATTATGCAGTCTACATATATCTTTTCCCTTTTCTTTTTGACTTTTTCGGTTTCATTTGACTGAGGAGATCTTTTGGCAGGACATCACGAAATCCGGGAAGGGTGATTTGGAATCACTGTTGAGAATGGTTATTTTGTGCATAGATTCCCCAGAGAAGCACTTTGCTGAGGTGATTCAATCCTTTTCTTTAGCCAAGTAGCAATAAAAACCATGAGAACCATGCTATTTCTGATCCATGATTACTGTAAGACTACTTCCTTTCTTGCCCCTTTTTCGGGCCGATTCTTATCTGTTCAAATCATCAACAGGTTGTTGGAACTTCCATCATTGGTCTGGGAACAGATGAAGATTCACTAACAAGAGCCATTGTAACAAGAGCAGAAATCGACATGATGAAGGTAAGAGGAGAATATTTCAACATTTACAAGTCCAACCTCGATGATGCAGTTATAGGGGATACATCTGGAGATTACAGAAAATTCTTGGTGACCTTACTTGGTGGAAAGATCTGATTCTTTCCGTCATTGTGTATACCTTGTCAATTATATCTGCTTCAGTATGAATCGGTGACAATGGATTGTTTGCATTGGTATATACCTTTCCGAGCTCGGGCCTCAATCCCTAGTGTTACTCTTGACCATTTCACTTTCTAGTTGAAATCCAAAAGAAAAACTGAAACTCATATGCTTTCGTTTCTAAATGGATGAATAAATAATATAAGAGAAAAAAGCTTGTATTTCGGTTTTAAATGCCATCCAAAACAATATCTATAGCTGTGACAATATGGGAGGCTAAATTCTCATCAGCAGAAATGATAACAGTACCAGTTCCTCCCACATCAATCAAGGCTTTCTTAGGCTCATGGATTTCTACAATACCTGCAGCACTTTCAGATTCAGCATCATCCCTGACTTGTTTTATGGCTCCGTTAATACCCATCTTTGACAGCTCAGTCAGAAGCCCGTTCAAATCTGGTGAACCCCAGTGTACTAATGGTCTTTGTTGCTTGGAGTCTGCTGGATGGGACCCAGAAAGTAGCCTATGTTTGCCATAATCCATGAAAAGCTCTCCCTCCAGCCTTGTGATTGTTTCCTGCTTGAATGTTTTCCAGTGGAACTTGGAAGCCAAATCTGTTGCAATCTCTATTTCCGTGCTATTCTTTGAGCTAGGTATACGTAATGTTTCATTTTCAGAGTAGAGAACAAGCATGTTTGCTTCTGAAATTTGGATCTTGCACCTCAAATCCTTGGGAAACTGTCTTAGACAGGAAAGAGCATGTAGTGCTGTTAGATAAATAATATCTTATACAACACATGGAGGAAACAAACATCAGTTGAAGTAGAATAGATCACCAGAACTAATTTTGGCTGCAATGTCTTTAGTAAGGGTTGAACTTTCTGCAACCTGCAGGAAACAGGGAGACGTAAATGCAACAGTAGCTAAACCCTGAGAACAATAGCAGTATCAATAACACATAAATTCCATGTCATCAAGGCAAGCCAGAGGAATTTGCTTAAAAGATAATCCTAAATGATATTGAATAAATACTTCATTCTTGCCAAAAGAAAAAAAGAAAACGGTACTGATAAATTTTTTATTTGGCAATCTAAATAAAGACCAGACTTCACGCTTCAGTCATTTTCAACTTGAAATAGTGTAAACTCCAAGATAGTTTAGACAATCTTGCATACAGTTGAAGAATTCTAAATCCCCTGCATGCAAGACAGCTGCTCTGAAAGGTTTTCCTCTGGCTTAAAGTTCTTTTCTGCAAACTATTTGTGTGTGTGTATGATTTTGAGAGCAAGAAAGAGTCAAAACTTACCTCATTCCAGACAGAAATGAACACTGAAGAACGTTCATTGCCATTGGCTTGAAAGGCAAGAGAGCTATGTCAGCATCAACACCACTCTACAAAATTCACATAAATTAATTCCATTGCTCAAAATCATTCATAATTAAATCATATTCCATCTAGTGACCATAACAAATAATGAAGATCCTTTGATAAAGCATAGATGCAAAGAAGCACCTCAAGGACAAGTAAAGAGTTCGGATCTGAGCACCAATGCCGAAGCAAATGAACAACTGGACCAAGCCGCAAACTCCAGTGAGGAGAGAATATGATACAAGGTTCCTGCCAATTGGTTCTATGTACTCAATGTTAGCTTCTTGTAGTTAATATATGATACATGATTACCATACAAGTCCTTAATTATACCAAACTGATTACTAAGTTCTAAACCATTTTAATGCTTTATCAAAAAGTTACACCTTGCTTCCCTAATACATGTTTCTTTCAGAATGACATGTAATTGATGTTACTAGAACCCAGTGTGGGCCAGAAAAGAGGCATTGACAAATGGCATTAAGCATCTTGGTAAGTAATCAATAACCCTCACTATATTAAGACAAATAATTCTCACAACTCATGAATGTGGTGACAAAAAACATGAACCTTTAATATAACTTTTTTTTTTTATTGGTGACAAGGAATGTGAACTTTTAAGCCATAGCACTTTGGGTAAACTTGTTCCACCGTATCACTAATAAAACATCATAGTAAGCTAAGGAATATACTAAGCTCGTGCTGAGTTAATCCTCACACCAACATGAAACAATTTGGCAAATTTTCTTCTCCCGTATGAACTGCAAAAGCATTTTAGCATGCTAAATAGGCCAAGTGCTGAGTTACACTCCACCACCACTAAGATATCTCTACTTAAAATCACTTATACATATTTTAACAAGTAGGTAACTATCCAATTACAAATTCTCATCCTTTTTTCTTTCAGTAGCTGTCATGAAAAGTTTAAATTCTGTTTAATTGAAGATCTGTAATGAGAACAAAGAAAATATGTTGATAGAACAGAAAAAAAAAGCGCTCAATCAAAAATTAGGCAGTGAAAAGTAAAAAATTAATATTATATCAAATAAAATATTTTCAAGGACCCATGGAATATGAACAGAAAAGAGCATGTCACGGTTAACATTTTTCATTGACAAGGGTAACCATCAGCAGGAAATAGAAAAAGAAACAAAAGGGCATATCTTACAATAATTCAGGTGAATGAACTGCAGGAAACACATGAATGTTCCTCTCTTTTATGAGCTTGGCATGCTCAAACAACGGTTCACCAGAAAAAAGCTGTCAAACCAACAAAAAGAGAGATAAAAAAAGGTCCTTTATAAATATGAGACAATAAGCGAGTGATGAAGATATACCTTCTGTTGCCGCTGCTTGCAGAGCCACTCTGGTATTATATTGGTAAATGCCAATAATTCTTCTGCTACAGAAGATATAACATATATGGGAACCTGCACTATATATAGCATATGACTGTTAGCAAAGAAGCATGAACCAATGCAAGCATACAAGTGAAATATCTTCAGTTTCTCTCCTATTTAAGAACTGCCCAACCAAAAACTTGAGCTATAAGTTCATGGCATAAGAATAGAATTAAATCTAAAATGCCCACTCATGTACAAGCCTTGGGTCTTAAAGTCTGGACATAGCTTGTTATCTCTTTAAGAGACTTCATCAATAAATTTGCCTTTCAAAAAAAAAAAAAAGTCTGGACATAGCCAAGGCCTGCCTCACCCAGTGATGATCAAAGAGGTGTGAAGACCCCAGTTCCACCAAACATATAGATGAGTAGGAACTTCAGTTTTAGTTAGCAGAAATTCATTATGACGAAAAAACAACAATTTCTACAAACAAGGACTCCAGCTGTGAAACAACAATTCCCTCTCTCTCTGTCTCATACCTGCGAGCTCTTGTGTTCCTTTTGAGTATAAGCTTCGGATGTGTGTGTCAAAATGACTAGCTACACGCACAAACACAAAAGAAAGAAACAAGAAAAATGCAATACCTTTACAGATGACGACTCCAACAAAACTGACATGTGCTCCAAAAGGCCCAGAATGATTCCAAGCCGATCAATAGGAATAAGAACTGATCCACCTCCTCTAACAGAATCAAGGGCACAGGTACATATAAAAGCTAGTTTCTCCATTTCCTCCATACTTTCGTCATCCTTAAGCAAGGATGCAGCCATCTCTTCCAAATTGTTGACATCATCACTACAATCATGAGACATAGAATTTCAGTTCTATCAAAGGAAAAAGCACCTCAGCAAGACTAACTTAATATATCATTACCTAAAGGCAAAATTACCTGAAATTTAATGAAGCAACTGTATCAAAGTAAGTATTATCATTCTCCATTTTTTCTGCAGCACCAAGGGAGGAGAAATCGGAATATATTATCAACTCATTCCCTCGAAGACCAAGGAAATCAAAATCTGCTGCATGTTTAGAAACAAAAATAGAGTTCGCAATATAAGCTATATTTCTCTTTGGACCATTTATTGTCCAATTGCAGGTTCCTATTTCCAAACCAGAGCTGAATGCTTTTATAATCAAATTTCCATTGTAGCAAGCTTCTTCAGCATATTTTAGTGTTTGAACCTTCCTCATGCAATCCTTCACATCATCTGCACTGAAAAGGACCCTCCATTAACTTCTTATATATAAACTTTTACATTCGATAAGCTGTAAAGAAATAATCTGGATAGAAAATGCATTTCATAGATGAAAACTTGGTTGGTTATTACACAACAATAATGGATTAGTTAGCATTCTAAAAGCAGTTTCAGTTACGAATTTGCAAACCATATTTGTTATGAAGAGCGTCTCTATTCTACCATCCCCATTCAAAAATGATGCCTAGAGAATTACACAATACATGGACAAGCCATGCAATCAAAAGCTGCACCTAATTAATCTATGGATAAATACAAGCGTATGATCTAGGAATGATAATCACCTGTACAAAGGCATCCAAGCTCCCAGCTCCTCACAGTCTTTTCCTAAAGCTATTTTCTTCATTTCAGATTGAAGAACTTCAAGTTCTTCCCACCTCAACCATTGAGGGAAACAAGAATCCTCTGGTCCATAAAATTGCCTGAATTCCATGTGCATTGAAACAAGATCCTCCATCAAAAGCTGTCCTATTCTCGCAGTTGCTTCAGTCACATATATCTGACCAGAATTAGAAGCAGAGCATAGAAATCAACTTTCAGCTAAGGCTAGCAAATATCAACACATAATATTCTTGTTTTAAAATGGAACATTTTCCAAACTTTAATTACCTTTGCAGAAAAGTCCTTGGTCCGAGTAAGATACGGCAAGCCAAGCATGCCCATAGGACTTGAGATCAAAACAACGTCAATAAAGGAAGCATCCCATAGGTGCAAACTTTTTACAGTTTTATACCAAGGCTCCGCATGTACTAAATCATTTGCATCAAAAGTCTTTTCCATCTTCTGCTTTTTCCTAATAACCGAGTCAGTATCCGAAGACTCATGGCCCTCATGAGCCACTGGAACAGGAGCAAAAATAGCAAGAGATGAAAGGTCCAAGGGGCAATCAAGTAAGATCCTAAACCCAGATACATTGAGCATATGACATGCTGGGAAATGGAAACCACCACCTTTACAAAGGCATGTCTGCAAAAAGCACAAACTCAATGAATTCCCCTATACTAGAGTTCAACATACGCACAAATATATTGCATAAAATCACTGTCTTATACACCCAATAATGAAGTTTAAAAACTCCACAAAGAAAACTTACAGACTCATCACACATCCATTTAACTAAAGATGTTAACTTTAAACCATTTGATTGTTACTTTCCCTACTTGCTTTGTTGCTTCCAAAAAGAAACAAGAAGTGCCTTTTTATACAAAACTAAATAATATTTTTAAAGACCTATAAATAAAAAAATGTTTTTTTTTGTTAGAGAACAAAACCCATGATTTCACTTTTATACAGGACAATTTTTACAGAATTGGCGTTAAATTACAGTAATTATTTGTTCATTGTTAATTAATTATGATTTTATCCTATATTTTTCACAATTTCCTACACACACCTAACAAGAGCAACAATCAAATGGAATTCTAATAACTTCTCATTGACTTCCTTATTTACATCATCCATGAATAAGAATTTACATCATCCATGAATAAGACTGTAATCCTTTAAAAGAAATTGGTCCTTCCATATTGGAACCAATTTGTAGTAAGAAGAGAGAGACTTACAAACTTCATTGAGAGACAGGAAATGGAGAGAAAGCTAAGCAAAACTTCACCTACAAAACAAAATCACATTGAAAAAGTTAACTTGGATGCCTTGGATTGAATATCTTTAATCTTTTAATTGTTGTCATTTAATTTTATTTTCTTCATTATTAACTTGATGAGCTCAATAAACTTGAGCCACAAACGAAAGAGGAAAAAAATCAATTTAACAACCTGATCGGCGGAGGGGAGGAGGAGCCGCCGGACGAAGAAAAGAAAAGCCGAAAGGAGAGGCGAGGCTGAAGCTTTCAATTTTTGTGGAGGAAGGGTTCGTACGCACCGTTTCTGGTAGCCATAGCTACATTCAAAAGGGAAATGGGATTTTGAAATTCTTGGGCTGATGTATGTGGTCAAGCCAAGGCCCATATCAATTACGTGCGATTGAGATTGGTACTGTGCAGAGCCCACTCTCCAGCAGCCACGTGACTCACCGCAGGGGCAAGGGAAAGGAGCAGGCGAGGCCGCGGAAGGGGAGGAACACCCCCGCAGGCCAGGCAGAGGAGAAGAGAGAAAAGAAAGGATGGAGAAACAAGGGGAAGAGAAGAAGGGAGAAAGAGGAACCGGTGGAGAAGGGCTGCGAGGGTAGGATCGGGGATCCGACACCGGAGTGACACCTACGGGCGGCGGGCGGTGATCAGAGAAAACTGGCGGTTACGGTGAAATAAGAGGAGAGAGAAAAAAGAAAGAAGAAAATTTTGGTTTTAGATTTAAATACAAATTCTTAAACGACGAAGTTTCAAGAATTTTTTATCAACAATATGATTAATGTTAAAAAAAATTCAACTAATGTTAATTATTAATATATAAATGTTGTGAAAATGATTTTAAAGCTTATTGTATTTGCTATATATTATGTTACAAATTCAAATGCTAATCTATAATAATTTAAATAAATATAAATTTAAATTTTGATATTTGTTGTTAATAATTGGATTAAATTTTTTTTAATGAGAATAGTTTATTTTCAATATTATGTTTTGAATTATGATTTCATTTCACAATTATGATAGAATCGAATTTGACAACATGAATATTAATATATATATATATATAGATATTGTCAAAAATATTAATATATTAATATATTTTTAACATCTCAAATATTAAAAACAGTATTAAAATATATATAATTAAAATAAATATATTAAAAAACTTTATATCAATTTTCACGTGCAAGTCTATATCAAAATATAAATTATATAATTTATGAATAATATTTTGAATATCTCAAAATTATGATATATATATATTTTTTTAAAATTAAAGAACAATTTGAAAGTTAAAAGTTTATTGAAATATTTTGATTTTAGAAACAGAATGTATATCTTCGTCATAGGCTAAATTGCACCCATGACAAGTTTTAGATTCAACCGTCTCTAGTTCTCTACTTCTTTCTCAAAAAAATCTTATAGCAACTAGAGACATGGTAATTATATGTGTATAGAAAATATTAAAAGAAATAAAGAAAGTTTGTACATATTTATAGAGTTAACCTTAAAACACAATATTAGACAATATTGTTTATAAGTACATCCTTGTCGTAACTTGCAGATATACCCGACTGCTACGACAATCTCTTTCTAATATAGTCTTATTATCGGAATTACATAACTAATTTTAAAAATCTGAACAAATCTTGCTCTCAAGAGATGTTCAAATAATTATGATATTCTCATGGATTTTCAACCTAGAAGCCTGATAACTTTTCCATGCAAAGTTCACCTAAAATGTTCTAATCACTAAAAAGCATTAAAAGACTCAGAATGGTTGTTGGTTTCTGATGATTGCTGTTAAACTTTGCATAGGGGGCCATTTTCTTGTTACCTTAAGGAGACGTCTCTGGCTTTATTCAACTTTTTCACTCAAAGGCTAACATTATATTAAAAATAAAGGTTGTTGTCTTACTTGTCGATTGCTTTTTCTATAAAGATTAATGACACTCCCATCCAACTCAAATTGAAAATTTTTGTAAAAATTGAACTATCACATTTTTCAATGATATTGTTACTTATTAGTTAAATAAGATGAGAAACCATTTAGAATGTTTTGATAATTATAAAAAATCACAAATTTTACTATCTTTATATGATTTTTTTAAGAGAAGCCACAAAAGAGATTGTGTAAAAATTAGTACAAAAAATTGGGAAGAAAAAGAAAAAATGAAAACCCAAAATTTTAAAAATAAAAAAATGAAGAAAAGGTTTACAGACAGCTAACATGTATACGATATTCGTCCTGAAAAATATGTTCTAAAACTCAATTCGTATTTTTCTAAATTTAAATTTTCTCCAATATCTTACTATATCAATATTATCAAAATATATGAATATCTCCTCAACTATCAAATGTTGAAAAAATAAATAAAAATACCAGCAAATTGTATGCAAATGTTGATAGTTAGTCAATTGTTATAACATATATATATATATAGAACATTATGATGCTAAAATCATGTGACAGGCATGTGATAGTGGTTGAGTCATGCACAATGGCTTTTCCTTGGAACTTCACAGAATTTTACATTGAAGTCTGAATTTGATCCTTCACTATTTCATTTTATGACTTTTAATTTTTTTATTTTTATTAAAAGTTGATTTATAAATAATTGATAATAATGTTAACAATTTAATTGACATGACATTTTAAATGAATGACCAAACATGTTGAGGAGAATTAATCTTTTCATCACGTGATACATAGCAGTATAAAAATATCATTCTTTTATTTTTATTAAGTAATAATATATATTTTTTATAAAATATATAAAAAATAATTTTTAAGTTTTTTTATTAAAAATAAAAAAATTTTAATCCGTGTCCCGTAGTTAAAAAAAATTGAAACTTAACATGTTACGTTATGCTACAATTCAATATATATGTATATATACACATAGAATATTAAGTGTTTTATAAAATCACTATCTCAATTATTCTATGATTAATGTAAAAGATTAAAAATATTCTATTAATGTTAATTATTAATATATAAATATTGTAAAAATGATTTTAAAACCTATATTTGTTCTATAGTATGTTACAATTTCAACTCATACATAATAATTTAAATAAATATAAATAAAATATGATATAGATTATGATCTTTGCTATTAATAATTGCATAATTTTTTTAGTGTGAATAATTTTGTTTTCAATATTATAAATTTAAATGATGCTCTTATTTCACAGTTATGTTATTATCATTGAAAGAATTTGACAACGTGAATATTAATGTAAAAATTAATAATATATTTTTTGAACCACGAATATTAACAATATCATTAAATTATATGCAATAAAATATAAATATTAAAAATAAAAACTTTATATCAATTTCTCCCTCTATCATAATTTTTTTTAACACCAACTAACCAATATTATTAAATAATAATATAGTAGTAAGTTTTACATTCCATCCTTTTTCACATGTTTTTTCTTCTCTCATTTAAATTTAATGTCCAATTAAAATTTTTTAAAATATTTTCTATTATACAATAATTTACATCACCAATTAGTATTTTGAAATTACAATATGTAAAGATTTTTTCGGTTTGATATCTTCACCTACATTTCCATTGAGTTAAACATGAGAATTCAACCCTACATTTTCATCAAATTAAAATTGAAAGCTTTCATAAAAATTAAGCTGCCATCTAATCCAACTACACCGACGCTTTACAGCACTCTCGAAAAATAACTCATTATCCTTGAGTGATCAAAATGTTTGTCCAGAAATCATGTAGAAGAGGCTTGGCAGCTATAAAAAATCACAAAGTTTTGGAACTATGATATTTTTCTTGCATCATTATCTTATGACAAGTCATAAATGAGATTGTGCAAAAATTAGTAAGAAAATCGATAAGTTTTCAAAACTAGAAATAATGATCGTAAAAAATCTCTTATCGAGAAAAATAAGCAAAATGAAGAAAATGTTTATAGTTAGCTAACATATCTAACATATTTTACATCGAAAATATTGTCTAAAACCTTTTTTGTATTTTTCATTATTTATGAAATTTAAATTTTCTCCAATATCTTACTAGTATTGTATCAGTAGTATTACGAAAATATATACATATCTCTTTAATTATCAAAGGCTGAAAAAAACTAATAAAAATACTTATACAACAAATTTGTATGTAAGTGTTGATAGTTAGTTGATTGTTATAATATATATGGAACATTATGATTTTAAAATCATGCGAGAGGTATGTAATAGTGGTTGAGTCATGCGCAATGGCTTTTCTTTGGAACTTCATGTAATTTGACAGATTTTTTTTTTGTGAAAAGCCTCATAATTTGACATTTGAAGTCTGAATTTTGTCTTTCACTATTTTATTTTACGACTTTAATCTATATCTTTTTATTAAAAATCGACATATGAAATCGATGTATGAACAATTAATAATAATGTTAACAATTTAGATGACATGACATTTTAATGATGATTATAATTTTTAAAAAAGTATAAACAAATAATTTTTAATATTTTCTTATTAAAAATAATTTTTCTAATTTTAACATAACATATTAAATTAACATGCTATATCATAAAAAATATCGCATTTGAATTTAATTGTAACAATTTAACACTGTTATCAAGTATCTGTTTAAAGTAAGACCAAAATCACATAATTGAGATAAAACAAGAGTTAGGTTGATTCAAATGTGTAGCAAAGTCTAATTAACTCTCATTATTTATTTTGATAGAAAACATATATAATCACAAATTTCATGATATGATGCAAGTACCCCAGTCTCATGGGGTTCATTCTTTTCTGTTACTAGAGATGAAAAGCTTGTTAGAAAGACATCAACGAAATGGTTAAGGCCTGAATCTCACAGCAGGAGAGAAGTTGCAGACTTCAAATGGCAGAAGAAATGAATATCTATTGACTTAAGCTGGGAGATGACTTGGATCACAGTCCATAGTTGAAAGATTGCAGGCTTCCTTTGTACAGAAGGCATTGACAGTGTTTTTTCTTCAACTTGAACTTTTACATGCAAGATCAGTTGGTTGAGGGAGGGGAAACATACAAGGAAGAGCAAAGAATCTTGAGCAAAATCACAATGAAGTAATCAATGGCTGTGTCAAGTCGGACTCTGATTGTGTAAAGCTCACTGGACGCAGACAAGGTTGGCGATAGGCTCCAACTGCTTTCCCATAGCTAGCTTCCATCTGACCGCCTTTTTGATCGAGTTCATCATTTTCAACAGCATTCTGTCCATCAAAATCATATAATTATAGTATTGAGCTAAGATCTTGTGAGTATTAACTTCTGTTGGTATGATTTATGAGCTATTTAAAGAATCCAAACAGACCTGAATAGGGTACCCTTGAAATGTAGGAAGAAAGCGGATCTTGCAGTACTCATTGAACATTATGGTCAGCAATACAAGGGAGATGGTGGATATAGAAGCAGCTGGTTTCAACTTGAGTCCAAAGAGACCGATCATAGTGATTTGCATAAAAATGATTGCGACGAATATATAATGATGAATGAATGGCCAAAACTGACCAAATGTGTCATAAACAGTGTTGTATACATCCTGAATCTGCAAATATGTAGTCAGACCTGTCACTCAGTTCGCACAAGGAAAACCAGGTTAATACGGTAAAGGAGAGAAAGTTACCTGATTGATGTACACAGCATAGCCTATGTA